ACAGTAGGATCTTAATGTAGAAATTATTTGAATATTACATTTCCAACACGATAATTGATTTGTCACATACCAGGTACTGTTAAGTCTAAAACTGTATAATAATTACCATACAGTCCCAAGCATACCGGTACCGGCACCAGTATAGCATCAAAAAGTGAAAACTAAAACTTTTGTGGGTAGGATACGGTAAGTCGTTTACAAACAAACATTAATCTAACCATCATATTACTGTATTACATAAAGTGTAAAGTCAATACCGGTACCGTACGTTACAGGTACCGTATATGTCAGCAAGCTTGTAGAGAAAGGTCGCTCGTTCTATCGGTAAGACATGTGCAAAGCCAATAACGAGAAGTTAACCTGACTGAATACGTGAACAGACTGCCATTTCAGCATAACTGCAATAGCGAAAATAGGTCTTTCACTAAATGCTAAGCGACGACATGTCAGTATTCAGTTACCGGTCCTACATAATGAGAAGAACGAGCAACCGGCGCGCATTTTATCGCAGACCACAATGCTATGGTCGAATGTCATGGTAAAACGAGAGTGACGTCAGTGGAAACACCTCGCCCATTAAAATTTCGATGAACGATTATAAAAAATCTCGACCGTGTTTATAGTGATAAAAGTATCGAAAACTATCTAAAAAATATTCTATCGTCAAAACTGCCCACGTTCATACTAAGATATTGCTAGAAAATCCCAAAAAATGCAAATTTATGCTCTGGTGATCACATTTTTAATAAGAGCTAATGTTAAAAAAAAAATTTTTAAGTCACTTTTTTTTGCGCGTAGGATGGGTTTTAAATGAATAAGGTCTATTAATGAAGTTCACCAAATGTCGAGTAAAAGAATATATTCGCTTCAAGAGTGAATTGCATTATGTTAAAAAAAATTGAAAGTTTCAAATACAACAGCCCGCAGCAATATTCTTAATTATATAAAAAGAATAATTTATGATCTATATTCGGCCTGACAGCGTCATTAACCTTGTGTGATCATCGCGCAATATGAGATATTTTAAAATCCACAATACGAATAAGGCTCTGAAAGAGCAGACAATGATACGTAGAGACATTATGTTTTTTATACGACTATAATCTTTCTCATTTGCCTGCTAAACAAACTTTTTTACGTCACGAATACGGCGATGGACATGGGTTTGTACTCGAAATCTTAAAATTGCAACGCAAATACAACTAGATCTCACGCTCTAACCATCGCGCCTGCAAATATTGTAACTTTAGATTAATAAGTCTAGGACGCAAATAACCCCAAAGACATTAATTATTCAATATTTCTTGGGAAAAAGTATATGGATTGAGATAACGACCGAGGCGAAATATGAAATCAAGGCATATATCCCGTGAATATACGATCTGCCTTTTATTGAGGATTTTCAAATTTCTAAAAAAAATTCACCCGTACGTGACTCACAATTGTACTACATGTAAACCGGATAGAGGAGTTGATAATTATCAGAATAATCGGGAATATTTATGAAATTAGAATGAAAGAAACTTCGTTTATCCCTGTTAACTTGTATTAGGAAAATCATCACCATTGATCCAATACTTCTTTCGTAAAATATTACAGATTATTAGACTTGATATCCAAGGCTACTTTGATACCAAATGGGGAGACCCAAGAAATATCAACTATAACTAAAATCGTTCGTCAATGTCAAGTTAAAACGTTGGTGGTGAGTATTTATAACTTTGAAGAATTATGTTGGAAAAGTTCAAGAAAAGTATTGCAGAAGCCGGTGCAGGATCTCGAAATAACATACAATAAATACTGACTGCTCAGAATTGTACTTATGCTCATTTTTTGTGGCGTACAAATTGTTTTTGTAGTAAACTTTTTCAATTAAGCGAAAACAACGTGGAAACGTTTTCCTAAATAAATGTTCAAGCTGATTTGCATTTGAAATAAGTGCAAAATCTTTATGTTGATTTGCATTCAAACTTATCATTTAAAATATATGTGAAATTCTGAATAATATAAAGTAATCAGATACAGAATGTGTCATTTGTATGCGGTGTACGACTTAAAACAAATAAAATATAGAGAAAGCAATTAACGGAGTTAAAAAAGAAGGACTCAACTGATAGCGATAAATGAGAAGAAAAAAAAACGTTTTTCTTCATCAGTCCCGTATTTTCTAGCTTGGCACCTATGTTGAGTATTGACAATGTAAAAATTTCTATCTCGCCAAGTTGAGAATTCTCCTGACTGGTCGAGATTGTAGATCATGGGTTTACAAACCATACCCACCACTTTACCCAGGATGTTAATTAGACAGACAATTCCAGAAAGTTGTCGGTAATTTCAAAAATAGCAAATTCCAACGTGCTATTTGTAAGTGAATCAGTGTAAAACAACTCGTGTTCAAGCCTTGAATTGAATACTATGCCCAATCGCGAACTGTTCTTTTCGGGATTTTTAGGCAGACCTTGGGATTTTTCTAATTGGTATATTCAATACTAAAAGAATAACTCAAAGTTGACAAATACAGAGATCGCAAAAATTCGAACCTTGTAATCAGGCACTTTATCGCGTATTGTCCGCAGTTTGTCATAGTATTTTAGCGTAGTTAAATCAAACCTGAATAAAACAGCGAATATTGACAAATCAACTGGTGAAGAGACACACTGAAAACCTTGTTACAATTCCAAGAATTGACTCAGATCGCTTTCTTCAATATGTCCAGCATTTTTCACTAGAGCGTCGATTGAGAAAGTAATTTTAAGATATGAGTATATAATTGTCTTTCGTCCTAAAAATTTTGTACTATTATTTCTTGTATCTTGTTCAAATTAGAAATGTCCAAAATTTGACTACAGAAATTATTAAAAATTACATCATTGGCTAGTATTTGGCAATACGTTTGCCCATAACTAGACAAAAAATGCGTAAGGCCTTGCATGCAATTGAGATTCAAGTCAGTGAAAAGTTTCATTCGGTTCCTATTGCTATTACCGTATTTAAACGGACGATAATAATTTTTTCTTTTCGAAAATCGATCTTGCGTCTAGTAAACCGATGCGCCTAATGTAAGGATTGCGTAGTTCGTTATGCTTTGTTGCCAACAATCAAAATTAGTACGGGTTGTGTCTTACAGACGTCCAGCTCGAGCACATGCTAACAACTGAATTAAAGTAATGCTATTCAACCCATCAAACAACGCGAACGGGCGTTCTCAAAACCGGAATCAAACAGCGAACAATAACAAATTCAACTGGTAAGGACTAATAGGCTCACTGAAAACTCATCACAATTCCAAACATTGTTCCAGACGTCTTACTAGGATTTGTCTAAAATGTAAATAAGAACGGCTGAAAAAGTAATTTTTTGACTTCCAAAAAAATTTTCTGTTCACATTTTTTTGTAGTTTCACAGCAAAAATTTGGTACTATGATTTCTCGTCTCTTGTTCAAATTAGAGCACTCTACTTAGAATTAATAAAATATTGTTTTAAAAAAAAAATCTGGCTAGTATGACCTATAAGATTACCCCTAACTGGGCAGAAAATCCGTGAGACATATAACATAAATAAGATATATGGTTCTTTATATAACACTCGAGTCAGTGAAAAGTTTCACCCGGTTGCTATTACCGTATTTCACGCATAATAGGGTACACTTTCAATTCATTTTCCACCCGAAAATGTAGAGTGCGTCTAATGTACAGATCAAGGAATTCTTTATGCTTTATTACCTCAAAACCAGTGCCGGTTGTGTCTTATAGCGCGATGTGACTTATGGGCCGTAAAACACGGTAATTCTATTTGGCGTTAGGGTTTGCTAAGTTTTTCAGTTACATTAATGATAATATATGTAACGAACCTGCCGTGCATGGAGAGTTTGTTCCAGTTTCCAATAATCACAAATAACTGATCGCTTTTGTTGGAGGAAGGCAATCCTTTTATAACTCATCGGACTAAGCATAAGTATCTGAAGTAAGTAAATATCTGAAACAGCTAAACACTGCAACTGCAAGTCGGTTTTAAATGTTTTTTTCGTGTTGACCTTCAGGTAACAACCTTTTCATATAACTTACTAATCTAACCTAAATCTATAACGGCTGGGCCAGATCAGAATTCTCTTTGACCTGCTACTGCCATGATGGTGGGCAGGGTTGCCAGACCCCAGCGATCAAAAAACGACAAATCAGTACATAAAAAAAGCCAGAAAAGGCCCACAATTTTACTAAGTACAAAAGCCCCACGATTTGTCAGATTTTTAGGCCCTCTGCAACGTACTGATGATGATGTAGAGCCATCAGTTCATTCAGTGAAACATACAAATAGAAAGTAAAGTTCCTATAGAACTGTAGAAAGTAAAATAAATATCAAGCGGACAGCATTATTTTACCATTCAATATATACAATACCCGGTGCCGCTTCAGTCTGTCAGTATGTAATATACCTACATGTTTCTAATTAGACTTGTGATATACCCTAAAAAATTCTTCCTATATCAGACTTTACTATTGAATATTTTTTTTTTTTTAATTTATAAACCATCAATTTTATTAAAAGATTATCTTACCGCTCACAGGTGGACCACTGATATCTAATTCAGTAATTTTTGCTTGACAGCTTGAACATCTGTCTGAGCAGCTGCAGAAACTGCAATCATTTCTTATTGGGTATGGTTAAGAGTTAATGTAACAAACAAGGAAATCGATGCTCCTGGAAATCCTAATGTTAAGTAGCTAATAAGTACAGGTAATTGTTCAGTTGTTACACACTAAATATTGTATTTCATAGGATTTTGATAATAGACACTAGAATAGACTTGAAAAAAGCCAAACGGAAATTCTGACGCCAAACGCGTTTAAAACAAAGCCAAAAATGGCGAATTTGGCGTTAAAAAAGCCAATATGGCCACCCTGATGGTGGTCAGTGAAACATGTCTAGCAAGCCGAACTCAAAGCAGTGGGCACGAAACTCAGTAGCCTTATGGGCCAAATACTTAAGACTAGGGCCCGACCGATATATCGGCCTTGTTTTTCACAAATTTTGAACTATCGGTATCGGCTAATTTTACCGATAGTTATCGGCTAATCACGTGACTGCCAAAGTGTCAAAATTGCGCCGGGAAAGCAGTTTTATCGCTTGTTTAATTCGAGAGCGGTTCTGCGTGAAACTCTTTTTCTTCACTATTTCTATTTCTCTCCTATCAAAAGCGGTTTCACGGACGATTGCGACACGGGATTTCACACTTTGCAAGCAAGTTTGCAGCGTGGTGGCTTACAAATCGAAGCGATAGAACACGTGAACGGCTTATTTGTGTCAAATAATATACGCTAGATTAAATAGAGAATTTTCGCGTAGTTTACACGGCGCTTGATTTCCCTTGCGCTTTAGTTGTTGAAGGTTGCCGGGAAAGCAGTTTTATCGCTTGTTTAATTCGAGAGCGGTTCTGCGTGAAACTCTTTTTCTTCACTATTTCTATTTCTCTCTTATCAAAAGCGGTTTCACGGACGATTGCGACACGGGATTTCACACTTTGCAAGCAAGTTTGCAGCGTGGTGGCTTACAAATCGAAGCAATAGAACACGTGAACGGCTTATTTGTGTCAAATAATATACGCTAGATAGAGAATTTTCGCGTAGTTTACACGGCGCTTGATTTCCCTTGCGCTTTAGTCGTTGAAGGTATTATTTAACTTCTTGTATTGGTATGTTATAGATGGCTGGTTCTAGCGGTAAGAGCAAAGTATGGGAATACTTTGTATGCCACAGTGATGGTGTACTTTGTAAAATATGCTCATCATTGTTAAGTCAAGGTTCCGCCGATTCCAAAAAGAAAAACACCAGTAATTTGTGGAGTCATCTCAGATCGAAACACAAGAGCAAGTATGATGAGATTTCGCAGACGCAGTTAACGCGAAAAAGGCCAGCTGAAGCTTCCCAGTTTAATCGGCAACCTTCATGGGAACACATATTGGATAAATTTAATAAATGGCATGGAAATGACGCAAGAACGAAATCACTTGATAATATAATAATGGAGATGATAGCCACTGACAACAGGCCATTTGCAATAGTGCAAGATGATGGATTCCGCAGGCTAATAGAAACCATTGAACCTCGCTACGCCCTAAAGACTGAGAAGTATTTCAGAACAGAAATGCTGCCACAAATATATGAACTTGTGAGCCAGAAAATAATGACTCTTCTCGTGACAGAAAATGCTGGCGATGGATTGGCATTTACTACAGCTACAGGGGTGGTGACTCCACTACGACCCATGGGCCGGGGCCACGGCCCATCTAATTGGGCCACATGGGCCGTGGCCCATCAAGCTATGGGCCGCGGCCCCGTCAGGAAAAACTCAATTATCTTACCAAAATTTTCAATTTTCACAAAATTGTCAATATTCGGACCAAAAAATAAACTCCTGTAGTATGTGTACCAGGTTAGGGTTAGGGCAAAATTTTGTTCAGATTTTTACATTATAGTTCTATTATGAGTTTGGGGACTGTCTGTGTTAGCCAAGTGAATAGTTCCTTTACACAACTTGATGGGCCGCGGCCCATAACCTGATGGGCCTAGGCCCAATTTGATGGGCCGTGGCCCCGGCCCATGGGCCGAAGAGGAGTCACCACTTCCACTCTACTACAGACTGCTGGTCAGGACCAACAGAATCACTTATGAGCTTGACTGTTCATTTTATAAATTGTAATTGGGAAAGATTCCAAATTGTATTAAACATCAAGGCCATGCATGGCTCGCATACTGGAGAGTACATAGGAACCACTTTTTTGGATTTACTGCAACAGTGGAATATTGACAAGAACCGTGTGTTCCTAGTTCTTCGTGACAGCGGGGCAAACATGGTAAAGGGTTTAAATATGGTAGAACTTCCCAACCTAAGCTGCTTTGCCCATAGCCTTCAACTTGTTATTAATGATGGGCTCCAAGCACAAAGAGCTGTGTCTGACCTCTTGGCAAAAGTAAGGAAGATTGCCACACATTTCAACCATTCGGTTTTGGCCAAACAGCGACTACAAGATATACAGCAGTCGCTTGACCTGCTCGTCCATGCAATAGTGCAATCAATACCAACACGGTGGAACTCCGCCTTACACATGCTGCAGCGAGTTTTAGAACAAAAAAGATCGCTATCATGGTACTCAGCAGAGCATGGCCATATCCAAAATTCATTGCCCAATGAGCACGAGTGGAGTTTGATCGAAAATTTGATTGAGACGCTAGAGACCTTCAACAGAGTTACTCTTGACATTTCAAGAAAGGATGCAACTATCTCTCTCATCATACCGAGTGTTGGCGTTTTGAAGCTGCTATTAGGATCTTCGGGGCTGGAAACCAGGGGTATAAAGTCCATGAGGGAGGTTATGCTTCGAAGTATCAATTCAAGATTTTGTAAAATTCAAGAAAACAGGCAGGCCATGCTGGCTTGTCTGCTGGATCCACGATTCAAAGATAGGGCAATTCTGGATGAAGCAAGCAAACAGCGGGCAATACAATGGATGGAGGAAGAGTCAAATGCCTTAGCAGCGTCTATACCTACTGCAGAGCCTGAAGTGACACAGCCAGGTCCAAGCTCGCTTGATACTATGTTTGACTCGATTTTGCATCATGAAAGACCATCATCTGGTACAGGCAGTAGTCAGCTCCATCAATATATGCTGGAGCCAGTGGCTGACAGAAAGAAAACGGATGTATGCAAATGGTGGCATGACAATGCTTGTCGATTTCCTATCTTAGCTATATTGACCAGAAAAAACCTTTCGGCACCACCAACATCTGTTCCCAGTGAAAGAGTATTCAGCACCGCTGGGAATATCTAAGCAGATAACAGATGTTCATTGCTTGGAGCCAATGCAGAAAAACTCTGCTTTCTCAACTATAACTTGAGACTGTTAAACTGGAGCTATTGAGATGCCATAAACTTACATAAGTGTTCTTTCTTTTTCACCATGCACACAATTTTCTTCAGCACTGTGGCTTTACACTGTTTGTTTCTAATATAAGGCGTTGAAAATCGCTATTCTTAAAAAAACTTAGTGATGCACAAATTTGCATTTTTTTATAATCATTGCATGAGTTTCAACATTTATTTCTTTTGCAAGAAAAACACAGAATTCTCAGAGTGTTGTTTGTTACTTGTAGCAATTTTTTTATGTGAAGAAACATCGGTATCGTTATCGGCCTAGTTTTGGAAAACTAGCAGTACCGGTATCGGTTCAGAAAGGCAGTATCGGTCGGGCCCTACTTAAGACAGCTAATAATACAACCGAGTATTCAATAAAATTATAAAAAAATGCGTATAGACAAATAATGAATAAAACTGCATACATGATTACAAAGCAACACAAACCAAGACTGCAAAATCTAGTGCACAGTGCCATCATAAGATCCTAAAACTGACGTCAACAGCAATTACAGCGCAATAGTCCTCTTGAAAACACAATCATGGTTAACGCTTATAATTTGAAAACATTTAAATTTCACTAAAATATTCACGGTCATGAATTTCAACCGTCAGATTCCAAGAAAATGCAGCAAAATTATTCTACTTCCAAAGGCACTCATATAGACTATCATGCATGATCTTGGTTTACGCTCATACTACATACTACTCAGGTACAACATACTACGGGAGTCACTTGGCTAGTCCTCGAAATCGTATTAGAAATAAAATAAGAAAAGTTGGAATAAAATTACCTCCTAACCATAACCTGGTACACATACTACGTTCCGTGTCCGCCATCTCGGTTCCCATACTTCGGGAGTACCCACGTAGTATGTGTACCAGGTTAAGGATAGGCCCTAATTTTATTCCGATTTTCTATATTCTAATTATATTACGAGTTTGGGGACTGTCTGTGTTAGCCAAGTCAATAGACCCCCTGCCTATAGGCTTCCGTTCCTTTACACAACTTAATGCAAAGTAGGCGAACAAAATTAGTTACCCCCGTGACAACTTTTTAATTAACTTGCTAATCTATTCTAAATTTATAAGGGCAGTACCAGACCAAGATGCACAACTCCCCCCGCCTGCTGCTGCCATTATGGTAAGCAGTGGAACTCAAGGCAGTGGGCACGAAACTCAGCAGCCTTATAGCATAGGACAACGGCTTCGGGCAGCTAATACAACCGAGTATTCAATGATATTATACAAAGATGCACATAGAAAAAATTATGAACAAAACTGCATACACGGTTACAAAGCCAAAGACTATTAAATTGAGTGCGCAGCGCTATCATGAGATCTTCAAACTGGTACAGTCAACATCACATTGCGGTGAGAATTGTTTATAACTCATCTTAAGATAAATGTTTTGAAAGATTCCCAGAAAATTCAGCAAAATTATTCTACTGACGACGTACGGCTGATTACATGTCCACTTGGACCGGTCCAGCAGACCACATATGGGGAACTATTTCACGCTTCAGTGGTTCGCCTGCGATTCAAATCCGTGCTATCGGTCAACAACATCAAACCACCTATCGAGGAGGTCTGAAAGTGAGCTGCACTGGTCTTGCTCAGTTGCCTCATCCTGCTACTCGAGCTATCGCAATTATGTACGTTGATCAAAGGGGTATGGAAGTTGTTTTCCTTTTCATCTCTGGTAAGTGAGTTGCTTTTTTCAACAAATAAAAATTTAGCCAGATGGTGCAAGTTTAATTTAAACATCTTCCGCATCTATTCGGTAGCTGTTGAACCCAAATTTGAAATACCGGTACCTGTACTGGTGGGATCCCGGTGCGGCATGCTGGGTTGTTGTTTTGAAATAGAAAATAAAATCTTAATGTCTAAAAATCATTGGTAGGAACTGAGCGCAATACGTTTCAGTTTGCATTTATGGAATTTCACCATACAGCCATACCTTATCCTAGCTGACACCGGTAACCGTACTGTACATACGGGTACAAATTCAATGCTTCAGTGTCGATAAAGTCGCAGTAGTTGGACGATATTAAATAATAGAAGTGCTTCTTTTTACATATGACATACACTTCACACAAAGTGTTCAATTGATAAACTGTAAATGTTTAAATCAGGTTCCGAGTAGACTACTGGTAACTGTAGGCCTACCGTATTTTTTTGTGAATGGATCGTGTGACATAAGGTGCCGCGTTGAACGCTGAATGGACGGCCAAAATGATCCAACTCGTCTACCTTTTATGCCTTTAAATAATTTGACGTTTTGTTCTTAGATTATGAGCAAATTTCAACGGGAAAGCAACACCTTATCATATTTGGCAAATAACTTCACAGAACTTCAATCAAGAACGTGCATCTAGTTTTGATACTTTAATTAACATTTGTATTGAATTTATGGATTTATTAAAAATTAAATATATGCAGTGTTTGCAAATCACGACTTGTTTGCTTTAATCCGGCAGCTCTAAAACTGTTCTGTGATCTCGTTAGTTTGGACATGTAATCGAGGGCGCTGAGTGGTCTCCGATACTACTTTGACATTTTCGAATCGAACCCGTTCACTGGACTGGTTTTGATGGACATGTAATCAGGCCTAGAAAATTATTTATATCTCAACTTGATCAAAATTTTCTACAGAGATTCCAAAAAAATAGTTCCGTAAGGCATCTACTGACCAACATGAAAACCTAAATACAGATGTTTTATTGCGTCTGAAGTGTTGGTCACACTTTTCACATTATAATACCTCTGCATGACATTTATATTGTCGTTGTTTAGTATAGAAATAGATGCAAACAGTAAGAAATTTAAAAACCTTACCTCGACTTCAAGTTTGATTTATTGCAACTACAAAATGAAACCTACAGGCGGATGTGCTTGCAGGTGATGATGGTTAAGTTTGAGTGCCCGTCCTCCTACTGATTAGTAGTGCAACTCGTTTCAGTACCGCAGGACTCAAAGCGACGGATACCAAACTTCGCAGTGTGTAAGCCGGCGACTGCGGACGGATAAGACTGAAGGTTGAGCAGTTTGCCGCAGTTGTAACAGAGAAATTTCTGCAAAAAAGGAGCTTTGATTGATAGATTTAGCATAGATTGATAAACACACGGTAATGATGAAATGGTAGAGTTTCCAGATACGATACATACCCAACACTGCAATTTAGTCGCGGAAGTTGGCATGGGAACAGTGACTGTCTCGGACATGCGGGTTTTCCTGATTATTCATGATCGTCATCCGTGTTTTATTTGTCCTAGTCGTGGAATTATGGTGAAATTGTAATGGCTGTTTTGATTATGGCGATTGCTCTAAGTATAGTGATATTTATAAGTGAGTGAAGTTGTTGACTTGGCTAATGCGTTTGCCCTGACTATGAAAATTATCCAGCAAAGATTTTTGTTATGGTCTCTCTTGATACTTATTATAGTCGCCATAATATGATGGGGAAAATTGGCATATGTGCTGGTTACTTTTGGTTCCGTATTGTTTCTTGGCATGAAATATCTCCCTGCGCATAACTACTGGTTCTGAACATCGCAGGCGTTCTGGCTACGATCTAGTTGTAGTGAATTTTTATGTGTGGTGGAATATCAATTACTCATGTTAGATATTGGCAATTTTTTGACTTTATGGAATATATTTTAAAATTCCAAACAACTCAAATATTTTAAGTCATTGGATCCAAATGATATTTTGTAGTGGCCGAGATTTGATAATAAAATTTACCACTTGGATAACTTGATTCATAGCGGCTTGTAAATCTTCAGACAACGATTTTGCTACGAGAGCTTCTCTGTGGATCATGCAATGCACAATTGCCACGTTAAGATTTTTTTGGAGTACATATGCAATAAATCCTTTCTTTTTCCTGCATCGAAAGACAACCGTCGGTACAAACACTCACGCAGTTACTCCACTGTAGGTTAAAAAGCATAACATTTTCATTGACCAGTTTAAATATATCTTCTCCTCTGGTTGTATCTTTCAATTCTTTGCAAAACGAGCGAGCATTCATTTACCAATTTCACATCCTTTATAAACCGAATAAAAGCAAGAAGATGGGCTTTTCCAGTTCTGTCAGTAGATTCGTCAACTTGCAAAGCCCATAATACAGACAGTTCATCCTCTTTCGCAACGAAGTGTTCGCGAACTTGATCTTTAATATCTGAAGACAAGTCTTCTATTCTGCGTTAAATCGTGTCATTTGACAGTGGAACCCGTCTAACCTGTCGGCTGCAACAGTTCCATGCACTCAGGGGCGTGCCAAACTCTTCTGCTGCCCGGGGCGAGTTTCTAAAATGCTGCCCCTTATAGCTAACTTCATAAATAATTCGGGGGTTAAACAGCTTATAGATGTCGTTATACATGAGAATAAATAAAATAAAGATCAAGTTAGATAAAAACGTTTGTTTCATTGAATAAATCGTCAAGTTAAGCAACAAACATAACAAAAAAGCAAGCCACTTATTTATTTCTATGTCCAATCGCTACTTTGCTGTCAACAAATGTCTGAACGACAGCCTCCTTTCACCTCACTTGTCAGGAATTTTTTTTCGATGCCTATCAAACATAAACTCGACAGGCGCTGATTTGACATTGAAGACTTCAAATATGTTTTTATATGTTTCAACTTTGAGAAAGATCGTTCACAACTAGCAATTGAGTAGCCAATTGTGAGTAATAAACGATATCCAATGCACAAAGTTGGAAAAACATCACAGCCAAGCCCAACCAATGAGGCAAGAAAATCTTTAGCATTTCCACTTCGGAAAAGCGTAATGCATTATACAATCAACGATTTCTTCGTAGAGGGAGGATGAGTTTACGTCAGTCTCAAAATGGTTAGAAAAAATCTCGCACTGTCGTTTCAAGGTTTTCAAATGTTCAATATTTTCAACATAAATTGAGTCCAACTTTAATAAGAAGGAAAACTTGTCAGCGAGTCTACTAACGCGGCCTGGGCGTTCGGTCTTCAGTCTGTTTGCGATTTCATTCATAATTCTTTGCATTTCCTCAATTGCTGATAAGCCACAGTCTTTCACACTTTCACCAGGCATCATTTTTCTTAGCCTGACTCTTGTCAATGGTACATTCCACTCCTCGCATTATTCGGATGCCGATCTGACTGCATTCTTAATAATGTCCTCAGATTTCAGATCAATAATTCTAATAAGCCCATCAGGATCATCACTTGCCTGAATTAAATCGATCTTGGGATCCTGTAAGCGTTTTGTCACTCTCTGAACGGATGACGAAATAGGGCACCAAAATTTCAAGAGAGAAACGATTGTAAATTGCTGCAACGAATGGCGAACTAAACAAGCATCAGATTTGGTCTAACTTGAAAATTTGCCATCTCAACTGCGTTGTGGTACGAACTCCATCTCGTCTCACAATGCTTCTTGACAGTTTTCCTAACCTTTGACTTCAGTACTTCCCAACGTGTTGTTGAAAATGCAAAAAAACAAAAATTTTGTCCATAATACCAAAAAATATAACCATTGTTGGATGAACTTCAGCTGCATGAACACATGCTAAATTTAAGCTGTGGTTTTTGGCAATTGACAAACTGGGCCTGTGGATTGATTTCCAAAATTCGTTTTTGTACTCCAGTTCGTACACCACTCATAACAGCCGCGTTATTGTATGCTTGTCCTCGACAATCATTTATGTCAATTCCATCATCATTCAATTTCTCAATCACCGTTTCCACTGAGCTTGCCGCGTTTTTCTCAGAAACTTGAAAAACCCCAAGAAAAACCTCTTTAATTTCGACATCCTTATTCTCACTGATGTGGAAGTATCTCAAGATCTCGGCAATTTCATCCTCACGTGATATATCTGGAGTAGAATCTAACATCACAGTGTAGTATTTGGCTTTCTTTACTTCAGAAATATTCTTCTTCTTAATTATACCGGCAATAAGATTGATTATTTCATTTTGACTTTTATTCGAAAGATAGTTGACTTTGTTGGGGTTTTTCCTCGCATTCTGTAAATGTTCAAACAAAACAACGTCATAATCTGCCAATAGTCCGATTATTTCCAAAAAGTTTCCAGAATTGTTTTCGTAAGCATTATTTTTAACCAACTTTGAAACTCCTTCATCTCTGTGTCTTCGAAACGCAATATTCTGTCTTGACAGAAGGAAAACAACATTGACAATTCGTTCAACATCAAGTCGCCATTTCTTTTTTTCACTTGAAATATGCCTTTGAAGTTCATAATCAATTACACGTAATTTTTCAAGTCGTGCTCCAAAATCCAAATATTCACGCTTTGCATTTCTGTGACCCGGACTTTTTTCATGCTTATAAATTCGAGGATTCAATTTTCTCCAGCTGCGAAATCCTTTTTCGTTACAAAAACTTGATTCACATTTTGAAAATAAAAAACAGACAAAGCAAAAGGATGCCTGTTTGCATGACGAATATATCAGCCATTTTCTCTGCAAACACTTTCTATTACTTGACAAAGTTTCGAACCAATGCTTAGAGAGAGATCTTCCTTCTCTTTGTGTTTTTCCACTTTGTGTTCCTTCTTTGTGTTCAAATTTTTCTGGTTCTTGCTGAACTAAGAATTTCACTAAATGTGTAGATATCGGTTTCCTTAAACGCCAAAGGTCGTGGTCACGAAATAATTCGATAAAATTTCCATCGTTATTGTTACCTTCAGCGTCATCGTTCAAAATGACAGCACTCGCCTCAGAATTAGCACTCACCTCATCAAAATCATCAGCGTCATCCGGAATCGAATTGTGCGACTGATTGTCACGAACAATGTCAAGATGTGTGTTAACTGGAATACTGACATCATCTTGGACGACAGTAACGGACTCATGATTTTCATCACCCAATTGATTTTTTGCCACGTGTTGCTTTTTCACCCACGCATCTAAAGAGCTTCTCAGGACATTATATTCTGCTTCCCTGCGTCTTTTCTTGCGACGATATTGAGCCCCGCTTGGTTGTATTCGCTTCAGCCGTGGATCAAATTTGGAGATATCAAATTACATGAGAAGAAAAAACGAAGAATAAGTAAAACCAATCGTCGTGTTCGGCAGTACTGAAATCAAACATAAACTTTTCAGCCTCGCATGCAGTAATGCGCGCGCGCGAAACTGTCGTCATGGCAAAAGATCTGGTGGAGAATTTTTCTGGGGTCAAGGGTCGGGGAAACATCCATTGTTGACTCACCATCACCACAATGACTTACACAAAACTATAACCTATGGATTTTAATCAAAAACAAACACATCGAGAAAAACACATGTTATAACGTTAGCTCTACAGCTTCGTTTTGCTGCCCCCCAAAACGTGCTGCCCGGGGCGACTGCCCCCCACCCCCCTAGGCACGCCACTGCATGCACTTCCTCAACAACAATGGCTAATGCTGGTGCAATAACTGATTCTGCGTCTGTGTGTGCTTTTTTACGTTTAGCCAACAGGTGAGCCACTTTGTAGCTTGCAATCAATCTTTTTTCCGGCAGTTTGAGGTAGCAATTAAATTTCTTTGCCTGCTTGTTTGTTTGCGACATCAGGTTCACAAAGTAATTTTTTTGGCTTATCCATTAATGTTGGATGCTTTGTCTTCAAGTGTCTGCTGAGTTTGCTTGGAACAAGCGATTCTCAGATAAGGCTGTATGGCAGATAATGCAGAAAGGTTGTTGGTGATCCTCAGGTCCGGAAACAGTAAACCCGTATTGAACATATTCTTCTTCCGTTAGTCTAACCAAGCGCGCAAGTCAACATGAGGGAATGGAACGCCTACGAATACATTTTGACATATCAATCCGATGCAATTGTGACGTAACAATCACCCCTACTACAGCGACAAGGTATGTGTAATAACATGAATAGTGCGCACTCAGTCTCACAAGTTTGCCCCTTGCATGCTTGCTTACGTGTAATACTAATTGTTCATTTTTTTAATTTCAAATAACTTTGCTGCAGACCTGAGAATCTCTCACGGCACACTAGTGTGCCGCGGCACACAGTTTGAGAAAAACTGCCATAGGGTATGTTAGCATTCTAAATAGGTACTGCGCTTCTTATTGATAGAAGTAATTATGCTGAGCACTATAGGCGCATTCTTTTGAAGCTACCTGATACTCGCATTTTATAACTCTTGACCTTATTATTACTGCACAACAGCCATCAAAATGCAAGCAGTGTATTTACGACGATGAAGGCGGCAACGAGTAGTAAGCTAGCACGAAGTCACTCGAGAAATAGTATTGCCCTCACAAGGATATGTGAACCTGAAAGTCTCACACTATACTTCCTGTATGTGGTGGCGACAGACTGGTAAGTCGACAGATATTTTCATTTTAACTTAAGTTCCACATTGGAGGATTGGGACATTCTTACTTACTACGCCTCTGAATTCCAACCCTTATTCAATGCAAAACTAAAATAGACCAGAAATATTATTTATTCAAAATTAATAAGTCAAATAATTGTGGAGCCCTAGAAATGACGACAATTGAATTGCATACACCAGTTTTGTCACGTACGTTACAGTTTCATTGTGACACGCATCACCTGTACCTCGCTGTATGCTGCGAACGCCGAGGTTACATGATTAGAATGCCAAAGCTGATCGTGGTTTTTTCATTGCACAAATCTGCGCTATATGACGTAACACTGTTACTTAACTTGAAAATTTGTCAACTTCCCGCTAATAAGTTGAGTAGTATGAACACGTTAAAACTATTCTGAATGTGCCAAAATTCTGCAATTTGTCTCATGAATAAATGGTGTTCAAACTACCTAGTTTCTCTGACTGATGTCTAGGTATTCCTCTTGCTCTTGCCAATATCAGAAGTTACAAGGTATAGTTATAGTGGATCTCGGATGAGCTGGAAAAATCGTGACAACCCGAACGCACCCAATTCGCAAAAATGTAACATATTTACAACACGATGCGGTCGTTTACAGAAGGACTTGTCTGTCCTAGAATAGAGCCAAAGAAGAACTGCAATGGAAGTTTAAGAAATCATTTAAGTATATGTCTGTGTAAAGTTACAAAAATAATAATAGCAATTCAATACAAACGTTATTATTAGAAAGTTATAGAATGAATTTCCATGGGTTCAAAGGCCGGGGAAACATCTATATTACATGTAACTTCTGTACTAATTATTTGCGCGATGTGATGTAAAAAGAATTTCGATGTAACAAAACATAAAGTAATAACTTAGTTTACAAGAGTAACTGGTTTTTTTGTACCATAATTTTATTTCAACAATAGGAACGCAAATGCAATAAAACGTCCAACAAACGGAACGCCGTTCCGGCTACAGCTCACCTCTGGATCAGACCCAGGAATCAAATATAGACACAGCTTCAATATTTTTGTGATCATGCAAAAAACAGTAGATGGTTAATTTTGTCAACTTGATTTCAGGGCCACAGGTTTCAGGTTAGATATATGATAAGTGAATTAGGGCGTCAGATGCCGCTAAAGAGGTTGCAACATTGAAAAAAAAAACTATGACATAGTAACGAAGGTTAACGACACATATCGAGTATAAACTAAACAGACGTTGACATATATTGTCTATGAGCAAAGCAGGGAACATAGTTGGATGTATATTACTCAACATAACAACTAGAATTCGGTTGGAAACCGAAGACTTATCGATCGGAGGTTAGGGGATCCCCCAAAACAGTGGTCTTACTCCATAGTGACACCTTGTGTCCCATCACTAATTAATTAATAACTCGCTAATTATACGACATAATTCATCCAAAATCGATAGGCTCCTGTTCCGAACTATGATGAATGCACATGCAAAATTTGGAGCAGATTCAACCTCGCTTTCGTGAGATATTGCGTTTATCTAACACAGTGCTCTTCAACCGGGTATACGGTATACCCAAGTGTATACCAAGCAATAAGTTGGGTATACAAATGATAAAGGATATACGAAGGGTGTACAGTCTAAGTCAGGGACTCCAAACTCTAATATAATAAATTATAAAACATTCAAGCAAGACAACAATGCAAACGCGGCGCATATGAAATATAAAATGTCATTTATGCGAAGAACCGACGTGGGCACATTGTTCATCACAAATTATATAGATATTGCTGCCATGTGTCTGGGTTGGTGATTTCGGATGCCATGCACTTTGTTTAATTTACGTTGAACATTATCCCCATTGATGCTAAGACCGTCAGTCAAATTTATAACTTGCGGTCACTAGCCTATTAGATTGCATGATGATATTGCAGGTGCTTAAAATTGAATGATAATTTAAGCCTTAAAGAAACATTGATATTTGTAAGGTATACAAAGTTTTTGAAAAATTATAAAAGGTATACCACGATAAAAAAGGTTGAAGAACACTGATCTAACAGACAAAAAAAAACAGACAAATACCTATCAACATACTTACCGATCTTAAGATCGATAAGTAATAAAGCAAGTTATTCAATGATGGTGAGTCATCTGTTATTATTTTCTCAACTATTGCGAATGATGCCATATTTGGTGTGGTGGTAAAGTGGAAATATATATTTTAGATATTTATGTATCTATATCGACAAATTTAAATTATAAGTCAGTAGGAGTTTTCTTGTTTACCTACCTTTCATGCTTTCGTATCAATTAATTTGCAATTAAACCAAGACAGCTGTCTGACTGTCCAGAGTTGTATTATTTACTCTTAGCGAACTGCGAGTATGGATGAAATATCTTATATTTGTAATTGGACACGAAGTGGACATAACGATCGTTTCAATATTATGTTGTTCTTGTTCTTTAACACGTTTTTAAAAAGTCGCTTTTCTCTTCGAATACTGGACCAATTGCTTTGAAATTTTCAGTGGTTGAAGATAAAATTTTTCTCCAGAAGGCTATTACTTTTTTTTCGCTATGACGTCATCAAAATTATTGCCATTGGGTGGCGCTACGTGTCCATATATTTGAGCATAGCTCTCTTGTTATTCAAAATAAACGTCGTGCGTTGCTCATTAAAGAATATTTGCTTGGGTGCGGGGAATCAATCTTACAGTAGACCAGGGGTGCACAACCTTTTCGCTATCGGCGGACGCATTGCATTTATTTGCATTCAATACGGCCTCAAGTAGAATTTTAGCGCACCCAAAGAGCGCGAATTTTTTTTCGTTTTTTATGACGTCATAACCGCGTATTTGACCCATGCGAGGTGCAGTCTGCCCAATTATGAAGTATGTAGAACTATTTAGAAGTATAATATTCGCATTTCAAACGGATTTTTCTTTTCGATGAAACTATTCTTGAGCAGATATATTGCAGCAAGTTGCATAATGGTTGCACAATTTTGAAAAAAGTCATGGGGTGTCGTGTTGTCTGACTTTTTTGCAGTGCTTCTGTTTTGCTCCAACATAGCCGCCAAATCCCTTGTTTCTAACTTTTTTTTTTTATAGGATTTTGTGTGTGGACGGCCGCATTATTTTTTCACGACGACGCATGCGGCCGCAGGTTGTGCACCGTTGCAGTAGACAATAGATAAATTAGATTAAACTGGATTTAACCCTCTCTCAAGTCTATAATAAATATTTGAAGACAGTTCTTATCTAAATTTATGGTTATAATATACATTGTTCATAGCTGTATAATCTGTGCTTTACGACTATACAGTTTGAAGGATGAATTCTGCTTCATCATACCTGTACGAATATATTTTAGTAACGTGATAAATAGTCATTACCGATTTATTTCGGGGAAGCTTTTTTCATTCCTGTCGAGTAACATTCAAATTTCCAATGGTTGATTGTATTTTGTAAGCCCACCGATCCACCAATAGAAATACATGATATAAAGTAGAGAGTCAATCTTGTACAACGTAAATAAATATGTATGTCTGAAGGAAAATTTTGGCGGTACAGAAGTATGTATACCAATTTTGTTCGCCACTTTACATCAAGTGTGTAAAGGGTCTGAAAAGGGCCGTTGACAGGGGGATATTCACTAAGCTAACACAGACAGTCCCGAACTCATAATCATTATGACATAATGGAACTAAAATAAGGAAAATCAAAATAAAATTATGCCCTGACCTGGAACACACAATACGGGAGTACCAAAATTTGTACGTATGAGAAATACTTTATAAAAAAAACTGCGCTTTGATATTGTGGTGGGACTGGAATTGTACGATTTTTTATTGTTTTATATTTTATTTATATTTCTTTCTAGTTATTGCATATGCATTGGTGTGTGGAGTCTGAGCCCTAATTCGCCCGATAGTCAGATCACGTTACTCGACTCCAACCACCACCGCTTATGTGAACTGTGCTTCGGATTCGTAGTGTCAGCCTCTTCTTGCTTTTCGCTGTCCTAGAGAAAGATCGTATTTTGTCGCTCTCATTTTATCTGCTTTAAGCGTGGATTTTACGCTATTTGATGGAGTCTCTTCGTTTGCATCGTGAATTTCGAACCTATTTGTGTGGCGTTGCAGCACACGGGATCTTCTGAACTAATTATTACTAGACTATATTAGTGGCGAGCACCTACCGGTATTCCGGTTAGGTCGTACTGCTGCAATA